GTTTTCAAAAAAGTGTTTCTAATTTCACTGCTGTGACTATATTTGACCAGAGATATGGGTACTAGTCCATCAGATTTATTCAATATCAGGGCGTTTCATTTGTAAATCCTGAAATTCTATTAAATTCATACAGTTTTTCAATGTTCTCCAAAAAAACCCTGCCGCTGCCGCGCCGCTGCCGCGATGGTTTTTTAAAAAACCTGCCGCTACCGCGCCGCTGCCGCGATGACTTTTTAAAAAATCTGCCGCTACCGCGCCGCTGCCGCGGTGATTTTTTAAAAAAACCTGCCGCTGCCGCGCCGCCACCGCCATCGCGGCAGCGGCGCGGCAGCGGCAGCGGCAGCGGCAGCGCCGCGATGGACATCTCTGATACCAACCTACTCAAAAGAACCACTAGTAGATTGACAGTCAGATGATAGCCAACAATTTACCTATAAAGCTACCAATGCTGTATTGGCAGTAATTGTATGGTACGATTCACATCACATGTGTAACTAACAGACACAAAAAACATAGAAATTCTTTCAATAATGATTGCTGGTAGTGATTATTTCCATGATAAAATAATTCAAGTAACATGAATTCTGTTAACTATACAAAAACTAGAAATATAATTATTACCAGATTGAATGTTCTGAATTAGAACATTGCCTTTTTTTTTGTACTCATGTTTGCTCTGTAATATCTAAGTGAAAAAGTGAACAAATGAGCTTAAATTAAATGATTGATTAAAGTATATGTATTGTCTACCTATTGGCGAAAGAGTCTTTTTTTGAAATGCATAAAAACTAATCGAGTTATGAACGGTAGAATAAAATCGGTTGATCACATTCAATATAAGTACCATATACGCAATAAGAACGCTAACGCAGGAATTGTATCAAATTAAGAATCGATCAGCGTAAGGGTTGATCGGTTCTTAATTTGATACAACTTCTGCACTCGCGTTCTTATTGTGGATATGGAACTCATTTTAAATGTAATCAAGTGACTTCATTCTATCTCTCATAACTCGATTAGTTTGAACTCTTTTAAACAATTCTTTTATCTCTTGTTGCTCATTAAAAGACAACTTGTATCGATCTAGGTCTTTGTCGATATGGATATATTGAATTTCGACAACTTGAACATAATTTCAGTCTCATTCACTCGATAATAAAATGATGACTAGTTGAATTAAGAAGCTATGAAAAGCATTCTACTATGCAAAATTTCAATACAATAACTGTTATTGAGATGAGATTAATTAAATAATAATACATGATACTGAACGTTTTTAAATAAGTTAATATTTGAAAATAGACAAAAACAACTAGTTGATCGGTACGTTTTTTTTTTATATTCTGAAAAACAAAAATATAAATACAAAATGCTTTAACAATTGTTAGAAGTTTGATGAGAAGTATGGATTTCTCATACGTTATGTAATATGCACAGCGAAAAGTTTTTTAAACTTTAAAATTAAAAAGAAAATAATATTTGAAATACTAAGAAAATGTTTGAATATATGAGTTATATCTCAGGGTTCGAAATAGAATTTCCTAAATAAGAAAATAGAATAAATCTGATTTTAATCGATTTTTTTTTGTTCTAATTAACAATCAATTAAAATGGTTACGAATTGAATATGATGAAAATCTGATTTTTCAATATCGATAATAGATTTCACTTGATTACAACTTATCTTAATTAATTTCAAAAAACTAGTTTTAATTGATAAAATATTATTTCACAATCAAAAATGATTAAAATAATTTGAAGTCTACTTTCAAAACTGAAAATTTAAATTTAAATAAATTCATTTTAATTGATTGTATTCTAGTATTTCATCAAACTTTCTTACAAGGATTTTTATTCTTCGTATCAAGAATCTATATTAGACGAATGTTTTCAAAGTTTTATTAGACTAGTAAATATAAAAGCAGAGTATTTATTTCGTTGAATGACATTTCTCAATCATAGACAAAGCCGAGTACAATATCAACTGCATTAAGTGGTATGAGTGTTATTAAAGTGGAAAAGTGTTTACCGTATACTCAAATTAATAGTATAACTAAAAATAGTAACCAATTTGAATCTTTGACATTTAACAAAAGACATTTTACTCATAAAAGTATATATTAATAAATGTTAGTCTTCAAGAAGTTGGAGTACGCATGAATACATTTGGTTCTTTTAATGTCATAAATGATTCAACTTATTTCTCATATTGATTTTTTTTCAAGCATTAAAATCATCCAACCTTATACAATTCGTGATAATAATAATAATAATAAACTTTTTACAATTTTCTAATAAATAATTGTAATAATGGTGAAGTTTCATCGTGTAGAAATCCTTTTTGTAAAAAATACTATATATATATACTTTTACTAATGCTATTCCGAATTGAATCGAGCCATCAATGAATGACCCGATTGCAAAGCGTGATATATATTTTGATAATTTCTAAATGCAAACTAAGAAATTTTTAATGAAAATAATTTTCATACACTCATAACTTTATTTTAAATCTATTCTTGTTTCTTAATTCAGTTGAAATTATTTATTTATTGTTTGTTTTTTATTTGTGTCTTTAAAACACAATGCTATACAATTGAAAAATTTTTACATTTATATTCTTGAAGTATTTAATTGCTCATCATCATCTTCTCTAACCAAAATAATCGCTTCTGTTGCTAATCGAACAATTAATGGACCTAGAAGAGCTCCCCACGGTCCTAATAATTCCAATCCACCGAAAATTGTCAATAATAATAATAATGTTGACATTTTTAACGAACCTAATTTAGAAAAAACTGGTCGAAGTAAATTATCAATTGATCCAATAGCTAAAATTCCAACAGTAATCATAATAACTGCTTTTAAATAAGCTTGTTGAATAAACAATCCAATTGTTATTGGAATCCAAACAATAGCTGTACCAAGAATTGGAATTAATGAACAAAGACCAGTTAATACACCAAGTGCATACCATCGTGGAATTTGTAAACATAAATAAGCAATAGCAGCAACAATTCCTTGTAAAGCACATGTTAAACATACGCCAATTAACAATCCTCGACCTGTTTCATGAAAAGCATCATAAAAACGATTCATATGTTTTGATGATAATGGAGTATGATGAATTGTCCATGTCCAAATTTCATTTCCATGTAATAAAAATGTATAAGTTGATACCAAAAATATTAAGAGACCAATAATAAACTAAAAAAATATATATATGAAATCTATATATTTATTTAAATTTAATAGTCATATTTACTTGAGCTGTTACACCAGCAACTGTTGATATAACTGATAATGCTTTTCCACCAAATAATTGAAGAACATCACTTATTGTATCTCGTTCCATTAATAAACGTTCAAATAAATGAAGTGTAGCATTTTTACCACCTCGAATAAAATTAACAAAATTAAAATCATTTGTTTTATTTAATCCAGATTCTGTTGAATTATCATTTGTTGGTGGAACAATTATATTAATTGCATTTCGTACTGTTGTAGAATTTGATATACTTGCAACGAAATTTATTGTTGAACCTGTTAAAGCGATTATTATTAAAATAATTGGTAAGATTACCACAAGAACAAGAAACATAAGAAGAAATGCAGCTATAGCTGAACGTGAACGTTTTTCTCGACATCGATTTATTAAAGGTCTATTTAAAGAAAAAAAAAACTTGATTATTCAAAAAATAAATTGAAATTTTATATTCTCACAGATGAATAACAAGCCATTCGAGAATTGGTCTACAAATACTTGATAACCAAATAGAAAGTATTAAAATTGTTATATAACGCCAAATTATAATTATTGTACTGAGAGCTAAGAGAACAGCACACCATTGCATTAAACGATACTCTGTTAATGTTTTACGTGTTAACATATTTGATTTTATCTTATTATTATTTTGTAAATTCGAAGTAATTGGTTGATTATTAGTAACCAACTGAATAGTTTCATCGGGAGAAGAAAAAGATGTTTGAATATAATCATTATTCATTTTCCGTTGTTTTTACACGGACGAGCTTTATATTTTCTCGATTGTCTTCATTCTAATATTGTTGTCCTATCCGTTCTTTTGCTTTAACATAGTAGAGAAAAAAGGAAAATAAATGCATGAGACAATCTAGTTGAATAAATACACGAGAAAACAAGATGAATAGACTAGCATGGGTGTCCGTACTAAGCCCAAAAATAAGAAGAAAAAGAATGACAGCATCTCTAAAAGAAGATGTAAAAAAAGAAAAAAAAAAGGATGTCGTTTTCTAATATAGTAAAAATGCAGTAATTCTATAGCTCAGTAATTAACATATATATGTCTATTAGAAAACAAAAATGTCGAATAACTAAATATAGCTATTTATCAAACATGAAACCTGAAAAATTAATATCTCAACATGCTAATTATCAAGTAGACAAGGCGAAATAGAAGAGAAACTATTAATTATTCATTTATTTATGCTGTCAGCAAAAAAAAAATTCATTTATTGTCACAAAAAAGAAAAAAAATATTTTCTTATTTAGGCAAATATTATTCTTCATCGAACTGATGTGATATGTTGTTATTAGTAATTTCCATTATGAAATTGTACTCGAAGCTTTTTTTTGTTTTTCACGAATATTTTTACATTCTTAATTATACATAAATACATTGTTATTTGAAATGACGAAGAAACAAAAAAAATGAGATGATCACTATCTAATTCACAACTCTTACACGAGAAAAATATTCTAATTAGAACTTTCTTTTCATATTATTTTTTTTCTGCTGTTAATAATAATATGTTTCCCTTGACAGATTTTAGTATTCCAATAAAATTGTTTGAAAAAGTCCAGTTATGAGTTCATCAATTGTTATGTCTATTCTCTGTGGATGAAGAAATAAAATAAATATAAATATTTTTAATGAGCAAAGAAAAACAAAAAAACAAAAAAAAAGAATAACTTCAATGCCCATGGCAGATTTTATTATAAAATTTCTGATAATTCTAATCTAAACATGTACTGGTAAAGGTTGAAAATAACTTTTTTTTTTATATCGTCTAAAGAAAAATATAATTAAACTAATGAAAATAATAAAAATAAGAAGAACAAGGGTAAAACTAATAAAAAACAAAAACCATGAAAAAGATTGATTTTGATTAGGATGCAATATTTCGATTTTTTCTTCATCTGTTTGATCATTCCATGGTTCAACAAATTTTGGTGTTGAAAATGATATAATATCATCATATTCTTGAATATTTTCAAGTGATGAAATATTGTCTTTAACAGTATCGATCAAAGTTGTTACTGTTAGTGTTGTTGTTGTTGTTGTTATTGTTGTTGTCGTTGTTATTGTTGTTGTCGATAGTCTAATAAAAGTAAATAGATTAAAAGAAATGTTTCGTAAAATTCTTATTTATGTTTTTACTTTAATGTTGAATTTTGTTCTTGATCATTTGTTTGATTCATAAGAAAACTCATCATATGAATATCAATCGAATCCGAAAATATATCAACTGATGATAAATATTTATTTGAATTATTTTTATTATTAATTATTCCTTTATTAATATGATTTAATTGATTTTCATCTGTATATAAAGGATAAAATTTTTTAAAATATTCACTAATTGTTGGACAATCATTAAAATAACATAATTTTGAACATGATGAAAAATTATAATGTTTTTTTAAATTTTTATTTAATTGAATATGATTAATAAAAAGTCTAGTACAATCACATTGAGTTAAATTTTTAACTCGAGGTAATATTATATTTAAACTTTGTTGATAATTTTTTGAAATATATTCAATAAGATAACAACGAGAATCTGATTTCATTTGAGATAAATTAACATCAGATAAATCTAAATGATGTAATCGTTGTGATAAGAAAACAAATATTTGAGGATCAATTGTATGAAGACGTGTACCAAATTTTAAATTATAAATATGACGAGCTGCAAAAAGTGTTTTTTCATTTATATCTTCAACATCTATTGTTAATGAATCTAATGTTGGAATAAATTGATCAATTGAAACTTCAAAACGTGGTTTTATTATTTCTAATCCTCGTAAATTTTTATAAGATGTTAAAAATGAATTAAGATTCATTGAATGAGCTTCAATTGAATGAATTGTATAAGAATAAACATGAGAATAATATGGAAAAGTATTTGCATCAATTGTATCAACATGACGATGAAGTGTTAAAGATCGAATAAGACCTTTAAATTTTTCTTTTAATAAAGATGTACTTGGACGAATAATTGATCCATGAAAATGAAGTTCACCAATATTTGTATTATTAAATATTTGTTCAAATGAATTTAATGATGAAAAACGATCTTGTATTGTATGAATATAAATAATTAATTGTGAAACTGTTAAACCAGAAAAACAATTTGAAAAAAATTTAAATGGATCTTCAATATTAGTAGAATTTTCTTCATCAAGTTCAATCTATATTAAATTATATATTAAATCTAAACAAAAAAAACAAACTTATTACCTGTGTTAGATTACTTCTCATTGGAATAAGATATATCCATAAACGTTTATTTTGAGGTCTTTTTTGAAATATTCTAGAAGTTAATGAATGATTATGAAATGTAATATGTTTAAATCCATTAAATCGAAGAAAAATATTAATTTGATCATTATTATCAGTTTCAGAAAATAACATAGATAAAGAATCAAATTGATTCGATTGAATTTCTATATAATTTTCAATAAAAAATTCAATTGAAACAGTACGAAAATGATTTTGATATTTAAAATCATAACCAAATGGAGATTGAAAAGTTTTTTCAGTTAAAGAATTTCCTTGACAATATAAATGTGAATAAGTTTTAATTATTGATGTTGGATTTAAATCAATATTTGATTGAAAACAAGAACAATTAAGTAAAGGAAATATTGAACAAGACGTTGATGAATTAACTAATCGAAAGATTATTAATATTGACAACAAAATTAATATATTCGAATACAATAAGATTTTATTCATTCTAAAAAAAAAATATAAAACTTTATTTATAATGTTTAAGAACAAGAAAGTTGTCCAATGGAAAGATGAAAATAATACTATTTTGTTTTTCTTATCTAAAAGAACATACGTAAATCTTTTTATGATTAAGCATCGAAAAGTTTTACTTTGTCATCATCATATTACTTACTGATACTCTTTTACAAACTTATCAATTTTGATGTAAAACTTTTTTGAAGAGCTCTTATGAAATATTTAACAAGTCTATACTAATATGTTTGGTGTACGCCTTATAGAATTACTATACATTATGCTTGAGCTAATTACTCTCTTCTCTACAGCATAAAATTGTCTCCAACTATGAAACAAAAAAAAAAAAATTAGCAAAACTTCCTGCTTATATTGTTCGTTAGTTTTTAGAGTTAGAATAAAATAATAATTACTCACTGATCAGCTTCACTTTTGTAACATTTTTTTTTAATGTGAGAGGAAATCCGTACATTCATTTTTCTTCGTCAAACAAAATAAATGAAAGCTTTTTTCTTTTAAGTTATATTGACCATTAATGCATCACTACAAATTTGTTTGTCACTTCTTTCAATGTTCAAACTAAACTTGATTCAATGTTTGAAAAAAATACCTTAACATTCTTCATATTACTATGATTCTTTTGTTGTTGTGTCTATGTATGAATGTGACACAGATTGAATTACCAAAAAAAAAAAAAATAAAATAAAATACTGATTTCCAAACCTCACATGTATTTGTCCTTCGATTAAACAGATTTCATTGAGATTAGTATTCTATCCGCTATGTTGAAATATAGCACAATTATTTCAATGATAATATAATCTTCCTTTTTTATAATGAGTATTTGAGTATTTTATTTCAATATTGATATATATTATTAAGTCTATCTTCAAGGTATGAATAACAATATGATTTCTTATACAGATGTCGAATATGTTCTTATTTTTAGCCATAAATAATATTAATTTGATTAAGCGATTATCAGAACAGATGCGGAAAGATGATAATAAGACTCGGAAGAAGTTTGTGTTTGATGAATGTTCCTTGAAGAGACCAGCATATATCATTAAAAAAAACTAGTTTGAGTACCATAATTTTCTCTTGACATTTCTAGGACCAAATAACATCGTCTATTCATAAGAATGTGTCAACTAAAACTAACTTATATGAGAGAAATGTATTAGTTTTTTTTTGTACAAATTGATAAACAATGCTTTTTTTTTTACAGATGAGTAATAATCAAATATAGGAACAAAAAAAATATCATAGGAATCGGCAATATTTAAGTCTATTCTAATCAATAAATATGGCTTATCTAACCGAGACAATAATATTTTACCTTATTAATAAAATCATTCGACAGATGTTTTATAGGTTTTTCCGACTGATCACACGATCACTCTTTTTTTTTTTTTTATTGATACATATATACATTTATACATAAATGTAATTGTTGCATCATCAATACATATATAGATAATTCGATTGCTCTACAATTATAATTATCAGAAAAAGGAGTAACTATATATTGTGCACTCAGTCATAGGACATTATTTTGTTGACACTTGTCAAAGTTAAATATACATATCGATAACAAGAAGGTCGTCTCCTTAGTGGTTGTCTTTTTCTTTTTACAACAATGATGACGCAATGAAAGAACGAAAGAAAAAAAAGAAGAACAAAATTTGATAATTGATTCAAACAAATTAATTAACACTCATATGAAACTATACTCTAATACGATTATAAAAGAAATATATGATCATCATAAGATAAACTTACTTTTTATTTTCTCCTTTTATACTCAATTTAAATTATAAAACGTTGATGTTCTTCTTTCGAATAGAAAGCAAAAAAAAATGAGAATGAAAAATGAGGAAATGCTGACACATACGTCGTTGTTGTGTTCGTGCCAACTGATAACAGCATAAAACAAAAACCAGTAGCGTTCTCTCTTACCAAATAACGAACCACAATACTATTAATAGTCTATCTCGAGACCTTTTCTTTTTCTGTCTTGCCTATTTTTTGCGTTCTTTTGCTAAGAATCAGGATCAAGACATAGATAAATACAAGAAAAACTCGAAAAAACAACAATCAATCACAAAAAATATGTTTTGGTATTATGAATGTTTAGTAATAATTATAAATATGTCACATATTTTGACGATATAGGAGATCAGTATGATGATCTCAGTGATAAGATCAACTTTCTTACAAACTTCTCAAATTATTGACATATGTCACAGTACTGAATAAAAACAACGATATTTACAACTTCTATTAATAAATATCCCCGATTTAGAACTATAACTTGATCCAATGGAACGAGTTTTTTTTCGAAACATATTTTCTTGCAATGAATAAGAACATTGTTATTCTAGTCTTGCTTATTCTTATAATCTTAGTCATATTAACATACTTTTACTGCGGTTTTTTCTTAAGTATTCATCATATCTATATATCATAAAAAACGAGATTTGATATCGAATCAAAACTCTGCATAAAAACCAAAAAGTAATTTCGAAATGTCAATGTAGTAAAATTTAATAACTGCAAAAACTCCTTTACATTGTTATATCAACGAAAAATTCGTTAGCAATGATCATGATGATAGTTTTCTCCTATATTAATTTGATATACTTTCTAAATCGTATTAAAAAAAGATAAAATTTCATTTAGAAACTATAGCAAATGTTACACTAATTAGTTATACAATAAGTTAATATTCTTATTGATTTAAACAAAACAAATTAATAACCAAAGAATCTCTCAACAGCATGTTGTCCTTGTTTCTTTTTTTCATTCATTTTCATTGAATGTATGATGAGAAATAATCTGTTGTTTCTTTGACGTTCATCACATATTAATGTTAAATGATTAAATCGATTAAAGACATCATTATATATATAAAAGACATTACAACTTATTGATTTAACATAAGTAGAGATGCAAGCAGCTGATTATCGTCTTGTACGTTCTCATATAACTACCGGTATTATGATGGGAATTAAACAATCTGTAGTTCCAAAAACAATCGATCATTACTTCTCATGTTGGCTATATGGTGAACGAAAATCTACAAAGCAAATTCTTGTTAATATACCTCGTTCAATACCGTGTCTCGTTTGTTCACAGGAAAATTGTCAATATGATGATATTTCTTTACTTAATGTAGATTTAAATTCATTTCTTCAATGTTTACCTTTATTCAATAATGAACAATTAGCAATACTTTATTCATTACTTGATGATGATCGACAAGTTTATGAAGATACTATTCGACAACAGTATGCACAATATCAACAAATATTAATCAAAAAATTAAAAGAAAAGCTTGCTGGACAATATTATCTTGTATAGTACATATGTCAAAGAGACATATTTATTGTTGTGACCTTTTTGTTTTTAATTACATCTATTAACAAAATAAATATAATGGATCTATAATCTAGCGATTAGGACGTTAGATTTCTAACGCTGGTAAGCTCTGTTAGAATTCGAATAGAACCTTGTGATATTTTTTATTTTTAATGTTGTTACTATTCAATATAGGACAATTATAAAGTGAAACAATCTAGTTCTTTTTAACTTATACTTTATCCTTTTCTTTTTATGAATCAGATTATTCTACTTGATGTGACTCTTTTCTACCATCAGAATATTTTAAATCAACAAAAAATTCCGTATTTACTTGAAATATTCGTTCACGAGCAAGTTGACTGATAAGGATATCAAATGTGAGACGTGATATGTCGGAGTTACGTTGCAATTTCATTTAGTCCTTTATCTGGATTCGTGAAAGTTGAGCACGAAAAGGGAAATTACTTTAGACATGGTGATAATGGGCAGGCGAATGCTAGATGTAGAGGGGGTAGGTACAGCTGAGTACAGGTAAAGATGGACACGTGGGTGCCGATGGAATGGATGATTGGGTGGGAGTTGGCATGTGACAGCCGGTGAGGTTGCCGAGTGGTTGTGAAGATGAATCGATGGATGGATGTATATGTGGGTGTGAATAGAAGATCAAGCTTTCTTATGCACTCCGCGGGCTCAAAGTCACCCATCCCATTCACACCCTCACTCACTCGCACCTACACCAACTCACCTTCATTAACAGTCACTCACTCTACATCTACATTCAGCATTCGTCTGCCTCGAGGGGGAAACCGAAGGGATTTCAGCTGTGAAGTCTTGAAAGTCTATTGAAAGCTTTCGAAGTCTCGTGAAGTCCTCTGAAGTCTTGAAATCTTAAAATCAGCTGTTTTTCCCTTGATCTGCCTATTATCATCATATCTCAAGTATTTTTCCTTTTCGTACTCAACTTTCCTTGTGCTTATCTTTCCGGCTTCTGATAAAAATGTTGATTTGGACAATTTATGGATGAAATTATTTCATGCACATAAACAAAGATTTTTACTGTGTGCTATATGTACTAATTATAATATTTTATTTAATATTCATGCTTATTCTTTACAAAATGTTATATTTACAATCAAATAATGAAAAACATAAATTAATTAAATTAAGAAATCTATGGGGTGGAATTTATGGATGAATTGATATATTCAAACTTTTACTTTTATTTTTATTTCAATTTGCTTAGGTGATTGGTCGGATAATTCACCTTTATGGCATGAAAATCTAGATATACGTAGAAAACTGTTCAAAGAAAAAGTAAATAGACGAGATGGAGTATTTTGGACGCTATTTGAATCATTTGTCAAATATTTTGAATGTGTTGATACATGTAAAATAAGACCTGATTGGTATTAACTTGGAGATTCATCAAATTTTTATCCTGAAATTGAAATGATGCAAGCTTATTATTTAATAATTCGAAAGGTAACTGAACTTGATATAACATTTCATAGAAAAGTAAGTCAAGATCTTTGAATTCAACGAAGTGAAGTTAGTCTTTGTATTGCAATTGTTAATATTGAAGAAAAATCAAATGGAAATTATAGAATTTATTCAATACCAGTCATAAG